ACTGATGAGTGGATTATGAAAATGTGGTACATTTACACCGTGGAATATCAGTCACCTGGTAAGAAAAATGAAATCATAAAATTAACAGGTTAAGTAGATGGAACTGGAAGCAAGTTCATCCTGAATGAGTTTGGTGGTTTGAATGAGATTTCTGCCAGAATCTAGATGATTTAAATACTTGCTCCTCAATTGGTGACACTGTTTAGGAAGGCTTAGGAGGTGTGGCCTTGCTGGAGGAAGTAGGTCAGTGGGACAGGCTTTGAAGTTTAAAAGCCTTGTGGCATTCTCAGCCTTCTGCTTGTGATTCAAGATGTGAGCTCTCAGTTGTCCCTGCTTCCATTCCTGCCTGTAGTCATGCTTCCCACCATCATGAGGATGGATCTATTTGCCTCTGGAACTCCAAGCCAAAATAAACCCTTCCTTCATTCCTAAGCTGTCTTGGTAATGGTGTTTTATTGCAGCAATAGAAAAGTAACTCATAGGCAGAAAAACAAATACTGCAATTGTTTCTCACATGTGTATGCAATTCTTGATTCTTTAGATATATGTGAATTGGAATACTCATTGAGGTTAGAAAACTAGTAAGGGGATATGGAAGAAGAGGAAAAATTTCAAAGCAGGGAGATAAAAAGAGGAAAAGGAAACAGAAAATATTAAATGTGGGTGAGGATAGGCGAGCAGGGTAGAGGAAGGAATATGGGAAACACTAACAGTAAAGACCCTTTTAAAAAGCTGTAGAGAAACTAACTACTGTTGAAACTTCCTAAGATTAGTACATAAACATAAACAAAAAGAGTTTAAAAGGAGTAGCCCTATAACAAGAGTGCAATACCCAACTAGACACCACGTGCTATAAGTACCAGGAGTGGGTTGTCTCTTTTGCGGAGCTGTCAGCCAGTGAAGTCCCATAGACCCCAAAACATTACAGGTTATTGCTACTGCTCTTGGTTACCCTCTAGCACTGTATTCTTGAAGCATAGAACATGGAGAAACCAAGCTTGGTACAGTCCTAGAAGCTTCATCCATATTGGTTAGCTTTCATAGCGCTGGAAGATGCTATGCACAGTACTAGAGGAGTAAAGGGGTCTCTAATCTTACCCAGCTGCAAACTCTGCGTGCTATAACAATGGCTCTCCTGGAAAGGTATGCCCACTGGTATGAATAGCTTGAAAGTAACCAACTACTTTTTGATTGAATTTGATTGAATAAAATGGTATCCATACCTGGCATCATTTTCAGGGCTAAAACTTGTAGCTAGATAAGTCATAGTCCTGAGGAGAAAACCTAGTACTATTATTCTGCTAAATGGACATAATATTAAAATGAGTCCTAATGACTTATTTCTATACCTGTAGGTCAGTGCATCTCTCACCTCTCATCAAAGAAGCTTCTTTTTGTAGTAGATGGCATTAAAACAGAGATCCACAACTGAGAACATGTAGAGAATAAGAGACTGTGGAGTATTCATCCTTAATTGAGACATAAAAATCATGTCCCTCCCAACAAGGCTTCTGGATCTTCGTAGAGGAAGGGGGCAAAAAAATTATAAAAGTCAGAAGTTGTGGATAACTAAAAGTAAAAGTGTTTTCTGTACATACTACAATAGTTACACATATGAACTCACAGATGATTATGACACCCGTGACAGCAACTGTACCAGCTCAAGCCAGACTAAGTTCCAGCATGTGGAGGTAGGTGGGCACAAAGTTCTACCCCTAGCAAGATCTACTGGCATTTGGAGCTGCTAAGAGTAGAAAAGTCGTTTTCTTTAAGGGTGTGAGCCTGGGTAGGTCAAGCACACTCCAGGGCAGGCCTGATCCCAAGAGTGTTTGAACAACAGAAATTGGACTTGGTCGGGGTGGATCTCAAAGGAATTGAAAATCAGGGTGAATGTGATCTAAACACATTGTATAAAATTCTCAAAGGATTAATAAAAATATTTTTTAAAAAAGATTATCCTCCAATGAATAGCTAAAAGAACTGAATGTACTTACTCTGATACCAATGGAAGAATTAAACACTCTGCTAGGTGATCCATATGTTCTTACAACTGGAGAAGTCACTTCATTCCAGGAGAACAAAAGTATACTTTTACAACTTTACTTGCTAAAATGTCAACCCTCTGCTTTCCTTTGGTTTCAAACACAGAGAACCCTTTTAGCAAGGAAGACAAATCTCCACACATTAGCAGAATTCTATTGAATGTGTCCTGCGTGGGGTTGGGGGGAGTGAACACAAGACTAAAGTTTAAGAAACTTGGGAGCTAGTTGGCTTCATCATTGCCTCATGCTGGTTATTTAACATCACTGAACTTCTTTGTAATTTTATTTGTAATATTTATATAGTCATACCACCTTTCTTATCATATGAATCATGAGATGGGCCATGAGGAATAATTTATAAATATTAAATAGTAAACACAGATCAGAGGTTATTTTAAGATCAAAGTAGGTAAAACTCAGAATACCAAAGAAAAGGACATAAGGCCCAGAGAAATACTCCAGATCCAAATGACTCTCCCCGGGAGGGGTTGCCTAGTAGTGCTGAGATGCCTCATGGAGGCAAAAGAGAAAAGGTGAAGGAAGTTGAAGAGTTGTCCAATAATAGCTGCTGGCTTAGGCCCTGTGGAATAAGGCTAGATCAGCAGAGGACGGAGCAGGTACCCAGATCTGCATGCCCACATACACTGCTTATGTCAGTTAAAAATAGTTACACCTTTCTCAATACTCTTCGACTCTACCCATCAGAAAACTGTTTTAGTTGATTTACTTTGTTAAAATATTCCCTGGTAAATACCTGAGAAATCATAGCAAATAAAAATGTACAGTGTGATTGGCAATTCCTAAGGCAAGCAGTGCACATAGCTTTGTCTTGGATGATCCTAGACACTTATCACCCCAACTCAAGAGTGTTTCTTCACATACTTATTGACTATCAGAATATAGTCATTTAAAAAACAGTTTAGACTAACGAGAAGATTTTGGGGTTTGTACTCTAATTTATAATTTTACTAACTCTAAATTAGCAAGAGTCATAGATCATTGATGTCCAGGAAGGATTTCACATACACAGGTCAGAAGTCAACGGCGTGTGTGTGTGTGTGTGTGTGTGTGTGTGTGTTAGTAAACATACTCATTGTTCTATGAACAAGTCAGACATGTACATCTAGAGTCCAAATCAGTCACACTATCCATTTCAGTGGGGCTTTTTTCTCTAGCCAAATACCATCGGTTAAACAACGAGTTTAACTAAGTTTGGCTGTACATGACTGTGTTTCCAAGATTCTGGAGACTGAGGCAGTAGGATCGTGAGTTCAAGGCCAGCCTAAGCTACATATCAAGTAAAAGATTATCTTAGGAAAAAAAAACTAATTTAAGGAGGAAAATAATCCAAAAAGATTGGAGAACAAGATCAGATTCAGTTGTTTTTTTTTTTTTCTGGAGCAGATCTTGCGTGAACCTATTTCTTAGATAACTCCTTAAATAAATGATTGTTAAATAATTAGTAATATTTACCTTTCAGTAGTTTGATACTCAGATTATTAGTTTTTAATGTAATAATATATATTGCATTTAATCAGACACTTGATGGGACCACTATTGGTTCATTTTAGGGAAGAAACAGCTAAAGCTTGAAGAGGTGGTGCATATGTTCCCATAGTGTATAAGGCATCAGGATTTCAAGCCACTCTCTTGAAATCCAGAACCATCTCACTTGATGCTGGATAAAAGAGTAGCTGAGCTGGGGACATAGTCTGCTTGTAAACCCGTTCTACGTTTCAAAGCTTAGCTTAGCAGGATATAATATTGGAGTCGAAATCATGGGCTATCTTTATCTCTGGATCACACTTTATCCTAAACATCCTAAGTCCTTAGAACAAGACAAACTCAGAACTATAATTTGGATAGTAACCTAGCCAGTAGCTTCATTTCTATATATAAAGCTAAGCAAATAATAACACATATGAATTCTAATTTTAAAACGGAGAAAAAAACATTCTGAAACTAAATAGTTCACTTCACTTTGCAATTACTGAATAAAGTTTTCTTCTAAGCCAAAATCCAGTATCTATTTAACTCCTGACCCAGGCCACTGCTACTCAGCTGCCCAAGGTGTTCCCCTCATGGCCTCAAGGATTTAGCTTCCTCAACAGGCACAGGTGGACAAAGATTAAGGAATAAGGAATTAAGGATAGTTTTCCTTTTCTTCTTTCCTGCTTCTAACTTGATGGACACTGTGCTCTCACCAAACTCATCAACTAAATCTCGTGTAGCATTGAAATATTGGGTTACTTTTCATTCAATGAGACAAAGTCAATGCGCAATTGGAATTGAGGAGCCCCTAACCAGAAAAAACTCATAAAATCCTAGAGAGCTTAGTACTTGAGGTAGGAGAGGGAGCCCACTGACATCACAGATCCCTCCAAGTCACAATGCTCCGCAACTGACCTTAGATGTTTCAGAAGCATGAAGATTGCAGTTTGGATGGAGTCAGGAATCCTTAGTATTCTGGCTTTTTAAGAAGGAAAATATAATTTTGTTCCCTTTAAAAAATAAAAAGCAAGTCAACAAAAAGTAGTAATAATAAAGCTAGGGAATCAACTTTATGAGTTCAGGTATCTACCCACAGACAGCTCAGTCTTTACATGTCTCATATTCCCTCTTACATTTCTTACAATATATAAACAAAGTAAAAAAAAATCTCATAGATCCTCAACTCTTCTCTTGGACACAATTGGATGTATCTCCCAATATTTTAAGTCAAAGCTAAGTGCTTTTGGAAGTACCTGTGGAAATATGTTCTGCTCATCAGCTAGAGATGTGATTCTGGCATGAGAGACCTGGGGTGGAGGAGAGGAGAGGCAAGTGTCAACAAGTTGGAAACTTCTCTAACTTTTGACACCTATTTAGAAACTAGCTTCAAATCTTAAAATGCCACCAATGCAAAAATTCTCTTGCCATAGTTAGTTCCTAATCTGATTCTGCATTCTGGTTGCCTAGATACAGATGTAAACAAAAGTGCCTCTCTGCCTGCCGAAGAACAGCCTGATCCACCTGATGGCCCCCTTCCTGGCTCAGTCAGTGACCAAGAAAAGAAAGCAAGTACTTTCAGATATTTATATTAAGAGTGGACTACTTTGTTCAGTTCTCTGAAGCTGGGGGTTGTTTAGAACTTGAAGGAATCCTAGAAGAGTGATTGTTTCCCTGCAGTTCCTGTTGTTCTGTCTTGATAAAGTGATACAGCAGTGAGGTTACCATAAAAAAAAATCTGTTTCTAAATATCTTAACTGGAATGATTTTTAATATGAGTCTAAGATTTTTAATTTGATAATGATTTATTATGATAGTGATTCTTTAAGAAAAAGAATAGTTATATGCAATGATTCCTTTTTCAGTACTTCTCATACTTTGCATTAATGATAAAGACCATGCAAAGCAAGTTGTGTTTTGGACTTCGGTAGGTCTAATAACACCTGAGCAGTATATACAGTCTGTTCTTATGGAAAAAGGTACCAGAAAGCCAGTATGACATGAAGCACTGGCTTTAAGTTTCTCTGTTAGATTGGATGGTTGCTTAACCTCAATTTCCTCTTAGAGAAAATAGGTTAGTTAGGTCTTGCTTTTGTTGTGCATTCCAATGAACTTCTTAAGCATTCAGAAGCAACCAGGCTCAGCGTATAATGATCACATGATCCACTGCTTCCTCAATCTTCAAGTTCTTTATATAAAAAAATCACCTTAAATTAAAGGAACTTTTATCACATATGATGAAAACAATGAAACTGATCTCATAGCACTATTAGAACAACAAAATCACTGTACATGAAAGGATTCCATTGGATAAGAATTATAATATTTTAAAATGCATTGTGAACAGTTGAAAATTGGCTTGTGTAAAAATCCAATAAATAAGAAACTCATTCCACAAATATTTACCCAGCATTATTGGTTATTAAATGCATAAGTTTAAGACTAATCTGTTGATCAGGAAATACTAAGACCAGACTCCCACTGCCCTTGGGGTTCACTGGAGTGGTGAGAAAATGTCTGATGTGAAGCCATTGATAAGTTCAGGACCCAGAGCATTTGCAGTAGGAAGCAGTAGTGAGAAGATGTGCTAGGCTAGAAATCTGGTCAGGTCCCCTAGGGATATTGGTTGGTATCCAGAACACAGATTTGTGTACAGACACCAGAGCATTCTCTAGGGCAGTGGTTCTCAACCTTCCTAAATGCTGCAAACCTTTACTATAGTTCCTCATGTCCTGGTGACCCCCAACCATAAAATTACTTCATTGCAATTTCATAACTGTAATTTTGATACTGTTATGAATTGTAGTGTAAATATTTGATATAAAAGATATCTGCTATGTGACTTCCAAAGGAGTCATGACACACAGGCTGAGAAACACTGCTGGAGAGGAAGTCTGAGCGAGGGCACGTCTAATCTCTTGCAGTCTCTAACTCACATTATGCTCAGGGAAACTGCACTCTCTTAGAAGCTCACTGGGCAGCTCAGAGCCTATTCTGATAGCCTCCTGTCAACTGTGCTGGACCAAACCAACATGGCCACTACAGATTTGCTTGATAATAGAGTTTCTTGATTTTCAAATTTTGTTTTTTGTTTTTTTTTAGAGAAGGGGGATTTACAATTAAATGTCTTTGCTCTAATCCAGAAAATGGTTGATTTCATTAAACAGGATAAAGAACTAATTTCTGAATATTTTCTTAAACTCTGAATAATTTTTTAATATTTTATTCTGTTGTTTTATTATGCAGTGATATAACCCAAGTAAAGTATTCAACAAACATATCTTGCTTAATTTGTTAACTGAAGAAGGATATCACTTACATTCCCTCCACTGAATCTACTTGCTGTGTTTTTAAACTTTAAAAAAGTATTAGACCTTTAGTTGTTTTAGTTGTTTTGTATATATGGAAATAGTGAATATATTTGGTATCTATTTTCCTCATAGAAATGTTAGCAAATTATCAACCTTTGCAAGGAAATAAAACCTTCTAGAAGTAGCAAAATAGTAAAATAGAGATTTTCAGCTAAGTGTTCATATAACCAACTTGTTTCATGCTACTAAATTATACATGTAGTTGATCTATGCCTTTATTTCATATCTACCACAGTCTGACATCTAGGGTTTTTAGAATATAAAATTACTTAGATTGATTGGTAGATTGTCTTAGATTGTGTAGGGCTGTTTTGAAAATTAGCTAATTCTCCTAGGAAATTACTGTGTCAGGCACAATTCATTGTCCTTGGACTTCTTTCAAAACCCAGTCAGTAATTGCTGGAGCTTTGTTGTAGCAGTTTTCATTTAGGAATGATGTGCGACTTTAACTTGGAAAACCTTTCCGGATATGTTAGCAGACCTATGAGACAAAGCTCTTTAGGAGTGCCCCAAAACCTAATTTCAGTTTTAGTTAGTATCAATGCAAGCATGATGTAGGTAAACTGTGGTATAAAAAAAATATTTATTTAAAAACAAGATGTTTGATGGGTAGCCTACCACAGCATCACAGGATACATTTTGAATTTGTCACCTCTGTTTTAGGTAAGATCATCTCCAGCCAAAATGTCAACTAAGAATTCTACAGATCTAGTTGAATATGTTGACAAGTAAGTCTATAAGCTAAGTCTATTTCCTGCATTTAATGACTCAGTAGAGATTAGAATGGCTGAATGAAACCTTTGAAACCATGTAAGTAGCTCTCTACTCTCAGAAAAGCCTCAACAACCTCAGACAGACAAAGCTCACTGTTTCTAAACATATGGTACTACCTTCTCTTTAAGTGACTTCATAAACTCCTGCAGATCTGTAGGGGAAATAATACAACGGGGGCCGGAAGTGACACATAACACAACAGATAAATAACTACAACTTTCAAATTAAGCCAAGCAGATCCATTGACACCATGACATCAAAATAAAACAACAACAACAAAAACAAAAAACAAAAACAGGAAACTCGTGACATTTTAATTTTAAGAAAAACATTGACTTTTTTTTAAAAAATCAAATTCTACTACTTACTATGCTATACTTGGACTTGGAACCCATTGGTGTAGTCCACAGAAATTGGACATCTCTGGTTCTTAGGACACAACAATTGGTAGATACATGTTGTTCAAAATACCCCAGAATTCTGTGTTTTAGGGGTGGAGCACTGCATCTGGGTTGGAGCTGTCTTCTCTTCATGAAAGGGCCGTCGTCTGGACTCCCATTAAGAGCTTCAAAGCAGTTTCGTGTTGGCGCTTGCACTATAGCTCTCAACTCTCAACTCTCAACTCTGGAAGTGGGGAATGTTCTTTTTGTTTGCAAAAACTAGAAGTTCCTGGTGTCTACAGCAGCTTTAAAATAATTCAGATTCTATAATATGCACCCTAACTACAGGAGAGATATGGCCAAATAAACAAATGAGTCAAAGAGAAGCATGGTAAATAGTAAACTGATTTTTAAAGTCATCTTTGACAATGAAAATTATGAGATTTTAAATTCTACTTTTTTATTGCAATATTTACAGTTAAGCATTCCCCTGTTCTCAGACAACTGAATTGAGTTCCTTTCAGTTCTCCAGTGTTCCAGCTCTTTTCACACTTTGTATACCCTGCAATTGCTCACATGAGTATGGATGTACAATTTGGGAGGATAGGGATCCAAACAGGAGAAATTATTTTTCTTAGTATTTTTTATTGGATATTTTATTTATTTACATTTCATATGTTATCCCCTCTCCTGGTTTCCCAGAAACCCCTATCTTAGTGTTTTAAAGTGTACTGTTTACATAAATCAACTAGGAAAAATGAATGGAATTAGTTAAAGGACATATTACCTAACTTTAGCATTCTAGAAAAAGCAGAGTTGCTTCCACCTGTCTGCATGGGACAAATAGAAATTAGAAATCATTGCTGTGACCTAGTGGCATAATTCCAATTGGAAGGCAGAGTGACCTACATTCCAGGAGATATGAGAATAAACTCCTGGGGAAGGATAACAACCTTAAATGTTAAACCATTATCTTTTGTTTCAGCACAACAAAAGGTTAATTACATGTATGTATGTATGTACTCTATGTGCATGTGTGAGAGCATGCACGTCACTGTGCACATGCAGAGGCCAGACGACAACCTTTGGGAGTTTGGCTCTGTCCTTGCATGTGTGGGTTCCAAGTCACCAGGCTTGGCAGCAAACACTTTTATGTGCTTAGTTATGTCATCCAGTTGCATTTTATCAAAGTTAAGACGAAGATCACCGACTCCAGCATTCACGTCTGCCCCTGTGCACACTCACAGTCCCGCCTC